AACACTTCATCCTTCAGTTTATCACAAACATTCAACGTCAACACATCTGGAGATACCTGGTTTTACCTGGGTAGGAAGGGGATGAAAAACTGTCATATGAGACTCTTTCAGAGTCAGATTGTTATGGGATAGTGTAGTTGGTGGACCCAAACGCACGCACACAGCAGGTTTACTCCAGCCAAGACTTTATTTTTATGTACAGGAGGAGACAAAGAATGAACAAACAAAAAACAAAGACTAACTGTCCAGCAAATTAAAGTCACTCCTCTTTCTCGACCGGAGTGAAGCTCAACCGAGGCCGGGACAGGTAGCCTCCGGAGTCGGGAGGGAAAATCGACCCTACTCAAAACTGGAAAAGGTCTGGAGGAACAGGACGGCGCGACTGTGTGGAGGCCCGAGGTCCGACACAGCAAACAGAAGGCACAGGTGATCTTCCAGGGATCGACGCTGAGCGGCAAAGAAGCAGAAAACAAACGGATAACGATCTTCACTGAATCGGTGTTCAGACTTACGTGCACTGTGACCAGACTGGTAACTGGACGGACTGACGCCGCGCCGGGGAAACGCGAGGTATTTAAGCCAGCTGGGGACGATCAGCTGGAATTCCCCACAGCTGAGCCTAAGGAGTGGGGTGTGGTAGAGGGCGGAACACGGGGGTGGAAACTGTAGGCTGACACAAAAACAAAGCATAAGCACATGGCCCACAATAACAAAACAGACAGGGGAAAAACAGAGGAGCACACACTAGGAGCAGACAGGGATCCTAACACAGATTTACAAATATATGAACAATAGAGTATCTTAAATCACCATTCAATTGGCAGCTTGCACATTGACTACTGGTTGTTTTTCATATTTCATATCAGCATTCATAACACACACATAGTAAGGTACATATTTGATTCCACCAAGAGCGTGTGCGCCGTGATCCAGCTGCATATAGTGTTTTATTTCGTAAAATTACCGGATGCTCTATCCCTTTTCGGTGTCTGACTTCCTGTCTGGGTCGATCTGCTCTGTGCAGCTTGATGCGACTTCAGCGCGGGTCCGTCAAAGATAGACTCTCGCGCGCCCCCTTGATTGAGGCAGAGGTACTGTGTGCCTCCCCTCTGTGCTCTCTCTCTGCGGTTTCTGTCAGATCAGCAAGACTAAATATGTTCTACATATACGTGAAGTACATGACCTATTATGTGGAAAGAAAGGACATACTGTGTCATAAAAGTGTCTACAAATATTACAGTGGTGACAAACAATGAAAAAGCAAAAGGCACGCGCTCAACCCAGTTTGTGAGGGATTGCACAATCAGAGATGAAGCACAGCTCGTGTGTCTCCTCTCTGTTTGAACAGGACATGAGCAAAGTCAGCGATTTTAATTATAAAAATGCTTGAAACGATTGGAATCATACAGAAATTACATTTATAACACAGATCAGTAGAGATATATTAATATTCATTTTAATTTATCATTATTTGTTTTTTACTTTTCATTACTTTTCACCTGCCTCCCCTGACCGCACGTACCTGGATGTAGCTACAGTAAAAAGTACAATATTTACCTCTGATATGTAGTGGAGTAAAAAGTATTTTGTCGACATTTGAAAATGTAAAATTTCTGGTAAACATATTCCGAACCACTAGGTGGCGACATTGCGCCTTTAACTAGTTACCAACCGCCAACAAACATCATGAAGAAGAAGTTCAACAGAGGGAGTTACCCTCTTGTATAACTGTAACATTAGAGTGAAACAGAAACTAACTGAACAACAACAAAAAAGAGATTAAAACATATATTTTTCCGGAGGAGACAGTTCTCTGAATAAGTAAGTAAACATCAAACCTCTCTCTGGCGTTGTCATGACGTCATGACTCTGAGCTTTTAGCTGTTTTGACAAACTGTCCGGGTTTGATCTTTCACAAGAGTGACGTTACTTTGACGTAACTGCTCAGTGTCCACTTTGTATCCCTTTATTCTGCTGCTTTAAACTTTAACTCCACGACATTTTAGATGCAAACCTTGTACTTCCTACTCAAATACTATTATATGACATCAGTTACTAATTACTGTGCAGATTCAAATTATTAATACAAAATGTAAATCAAGTCATAAATGATGTTATTGAGGATCAAACCACTCGACAGTTAAAAAGTAGTTGAAGTTGTCTTCATCTTTACCAGCTGCACCATTACAGTGATGAACACATTAATGCATCAATGATTATAAAATGATATATATGATGTATATGATTCTGTAGAACAAATACTGTGTGCTACAAATGTGAGAAATACATCCGTTAAGTCCCCAAAGAAAAAAGTTTAAGTTTAAGTTTATCTGAAATGTGAGGACACAAAACCCAGATATTCACAAAGTTTGATAATCAACAGGTTGTTTCTTAATGCAAACTAGATTTGTATGGGTTTAGAGAAGGCGGGTCCTTTTTACAGAATGTTAAGACAACACAAGGTTTACAGGAACTGCTGTCATTTCTTGTAAATGCTGATGGGAGGGTGAACAGGGTTCGCTGTTTGCCGTTAACAGAATACCGTTCAAATAGAGAACTGGATGTTGAAACAGCCTGTGAACTAAACACGTAAACACCTCTAGTCTCTGAGTTTTATGGGTGTGGTTTGTTGCATGATGTTTTAATACAACATGTATTGTTGCAAGAGTCTGAACCTTATTTCTGTACTTCACTACAGAGCAGCACATCCACTCTCTACATCTCAAACATGGGAGGAACAATCAACAAATTCTGTAAGTCAATATCAACCTGTATTTATAGTTATTTTTATCTATTGATGACGCCAGTAACATTGGGGGTTGTTTGTTTTTTGCAGTCCTCACTTTTCATCTATCATAGTCTGATGAAAGCCTAATATGTGAGCTATTGTTTGTCTTTTGTGTGCTCAGTTTTATCATCCTACTCTTTTAGTTTGCATTTCTAATCAGTTTATAATTATAGTACAGTGCCCTCCAGAATTATTGGCACCCTTTAGTAAAAATGAGCAAAACGAGATGCGAAAAAATGTCTTTATTGTTTATCCTCATGATCTTTCATTCAAAATATCCACAAAAATCTAACCTTTAACTGAAGCAACTTAATTGAAAGAAACATTAAATTCTTATCTGAAACAAATAGTTTTTCTCAAAAATATATGTGCCACAATTATTGGCACCCTTCATTTAATATTTTGTGCAGCCTCCCTTTGCCAAGATAACAGCTCTGGGTCTTCTCCTATAATGCGTGATGAGGTTGGTGAACACATGGCACTGGATCTGAGACCATTCTGAGACCAAATTTTTGGTTGATTAGACAATTAAAATCTTTTATTTTTTTTTCTAAACATGAATCTGTCCATTATTTTAATAGTTCAGTATTGTATGCAAGATAACAGGTATGTTTATGCATGGCAGTGGCACTAATAGGCCATCACTCATTTTCATTTCCACATTTATGTTTAAAATGAAAACATCAGTGTGAATATCTTGTATGCATGATTATCATGCAATTGACAGACAATGTTGATGTTGGCATTGGTA